TAATACTCCTGAAGGACTAATTGCATCCATTCATGTTTTCAGCCCAGCATGAAGCTGGTAGATTGCTGAGATCACAGCAACAGGGGACAGAAAGAAAGGCTCATCTTTATCTGCCCCTCTCAAAAAAGCATACAGGGCTAGAAGAAAGAATGCAATGAAGTGTCCTGACTATGCACTCAAAAAAGATTTCATAAGAAGCATTTCATGAAGATCAGGTACCACTTAACAAGGTGCCTTTCATACAAGGGTGGAGGCCAGAGAAACTATTGTTCTTTGTGCAGTTTTTCCATAGAAGCTTTCAAGCTGTTTCAAACACCCACTTTTAAAATAAGCACGAACGTTCTTTTGGAGACACAAGGTGTTAATGAAACCATTAAAAGCAGAGAAAGTAGGTGTAAAGAATTGACAGCTCTACTACTGATGTTTTAATTACAAGGAACCAGTCAGAGATTTCTTCAGCTCTCAGAGCAAGCTGCTGGATAAAATGCTGTCAAAATGCAAGCTATGCTATTTCAAAATAGGTTTATATATATATATAATATATTTACAAGGATGTGTATGTATACCCCAAGTACTTAGGCTCCTATGCTTCCCTTGACATATGAAACTTATACATAACACCAACATTAAAGTAAGCACTTTGATTTTACCCTTCTTCATCCAAAACTTAAAAGTTTTCCTAAGGTGTAACTGCTTTCTTCCTACTCCAGCCATTTCTGCATGGCTTCCCTCAACTCTGTACATAGGCAGAACTCTATCTATATAGAAAAAAAAAAAAAAAAAAAAAAAAAAAAAAAAAAAAAAAAAAAAAGACAAACCAAGAAAAAAAAACAGTCACATGACCTCAGCACATACAATTAACATGCTATGGTGAAATCCACAAATATTTAACAGATGGCAAAACACTCAGACATCCATCCCAGTCCATGAGTATGCTCCAAGTGCCAGGTGTGCATGAGTTGCCACATCCAGAGCTTCTCAAAACTAAATCTGTGTATTTGGCTGGCCCAGGGAGACACTTAAGCACACATCTATCCACCCCCACAACTGCAGCAGAACTTAGGTGTGTAAGGACTGAGTTCAAAGAAGCAAGATGCTTTTCTGAAACAGCTCCTAAATTCTCAGCTACAAAATCCACATAGGCTGAGAAATCCAGGTTGTAAAATTCTGATCTATGCATAGAATTGTCAAAAGTATCCACTCATTTTTCCCCAAATATGTATCTAAAAAAAACCAACCTCTACCTACGCCGACCAAATTCTGGTATCCTGTTTAATTATATGCAATCACCAGCTGAAGTTGAAATTATTCTTCAATACCTAAATTCTCTATTTACCATCTGATTTCCTGATTTTATCCACATAAATACACAAAGAGAAAATATATCAGCATCCTATGTCTTTACAATAATTATTCTATGGATTTGGTGTACCATTTTCTTTTATAAAATGCAGCCAAATCCAGTAATACTCCTAATAAAAATATTTGCTTTTGTGAAACTAGAAGCTATGGCCTCTATGTACTCTTAACCATCGTGAAACTAACTAACAATTTATGAAGGTACATAATGTGACACTAAAACAACTTACATGGAAATATATAAAGAGAAACCACAATCTTAAAGCATAATCCTGGCAACAATGTAGCAACAATTAAAACAAGTAGTTCAGCTTGAACTGTGGCAAGATTAAAAACAGTAGTAGGCATGACGCAGGTAGACCGTTTCAAAATTTGGCCCTGGTACACTATGTTCGGTCTGAATTCTAATTAAAAGGACACTACCAATCAAGATTAAATTAATATGCTCCATTCCAAAACTGAGCATTGTATTCAGAATAATATTCCCTGATGATAACCGTTCGCAGTCCCATATAAAAAAACATACATGCAAAGAGTGCTGAAAGACTAATGCACTTTAAGGTGGCAGTTAGAATTTGTGTTTCCATAATTCTAAGCCTACATAAATAAACAAATAAATCACATTTTTGAGCTTACTTGAGGATTCATTTCCAATCAAAAAAAAAAAAAAAAAAAAAGGACTAAAAAAGTTATTTTATTTATACTTCAAAATTTTAATACCTAAGCATGTTTTCACCTGGAATTGGACTACAACATTTATAGAAGGTGTAAGCTGATAACTAAATATGAAAGAATAGTAAAGCATGGCAATTCTTTAAACACTTCCAAGAACTGACTTTGACTCTGTAAAATTAAAAAACTTTGTTACTTGTACATGCTGACAGTAATGACCATACACTTTCTGACTGTTTTAGCAGAACTTCAACAACTAACCAAGGAATGTAATATGAATTTTTCTAATAGACTCTTATGATTTTTTGTTTACCAAACACTGTTCACACCAGGTGGGTCACTCAACAATTTGCTAATGTGTCTTTCAATGAGAATGAAATCTTTACTTATTTCCGCAAATTGCTGGAGTCTAATACTTATAAAAATTAAACCATCAAAACTGAAGGAAGGACAATCATTATCAAATTCTTCAAAGTTTAAATGAAATCTTAATTTAGAGTGCCTTTATCATTATTAAGATGATCAATATCTCAATTTTTAAGGAATTAATTAGTTCTATTAATTAGTTCTCTTAGTTCTATTTGTTCTAAATTCAGTTTGTTAATTCTGAATAAATACAATAAAGAAGAAAGCTAAATCACAATGGTAGTATTTGTGTTTATAGAATGACAGTATATTTTGTCCTCTAATTTCAAATAGTTATCACCAAGTAAGCATCTCTACTTACTTCTACATGTGTTCATCTCCTGAGTCTGCCTCCAGATGAAGATAAATTACTACAAATTTATTCCTGCAACACTGTTAAATGCTCTAAGAATTTTGATATCCAAAGACAATTTTGCCTTCAGCTCAGGTTCTGATGAAACAAATTCAAAAGAGAAGTGCTTTCTTTTCTTTGTGTCTCTCCCACCTACCATTCAGGTGTTTGCCTGTTTTTCTGTAATGCTCGTGTTACTTAAAAAGCACACAAAAACTGGCACACTGTATAAAACAAAGGGGAGTTGCATCTGCACCCTGCTCCTTCTCATATTTTTAACTCACAAATAAAAATGGCGTGTCCATACAGATACATCCATTGTGAGAGAGCAGTATTTTAAGACAAGAAATGTTTGGTTTTAAAACAGAAGGTTTAGAAACATCTTAAAATTAACTCTTCCTCTACTGTTTGGAAGAATAGCAAAACTAAGTTTTCTTCGCAGTGTGCTGATGCTTATGTTGGATTAATAAGAGTAGTATAGTATTAATATATGATTTAACTTACTTGAATTCTTATAAATATAATTCAGTGTAATGCCCATTAACTAGGTAAGGTTTGTACCTTCTACTGTCTTTACCTACGTACAGTTAAGATGATCTAACATAAGACAATAGAAGTGAAAAATCTTGAATCTAAGGCTAATTTTGAAGTATTTTAACTGTTATGCTAGCAATGTATGCATCTAGTCACACCTATTTCCTTCAGTGATCCTCCTTTTGCCCAGTGGGATTTGAGAATATAACTTCTTTTTTTTTCCCTAGCAGTTACATTTCATTTTGCAAAACAATAGAAACAAAAATTCTGGTTTTTTGAGGCAAGCAATTTTTGGGGACATATGTTCTCTGATGGGTGATGTGAAGTGCAACTTTTCATCTTATTTACTCTGAGCAGTCTTTTTCAAGCAACACATGTAGAAAAAGGAAAATGTAGAGAGAGGCATTTCAAATCACAGATGCTCATCATATCCAAACATGATTGTTTCTATTTCAGGTTTTTTGGGTCAATTATTTATTGCTGAGGCGATGAGATCGGGAGCACAGTAATAAACTGCGGGACAGACTAGCTAACCCTGGGCACTTGAAAATTCTGCCCGTTAACTTCTGCATCTCCTATTTTAAACCTACCCTGGAATACTGAGCAGTGGAGTTTTCTGCAGACAACACAGATCTATTAAAAAACATGACCTATGACAAAAATCAATGTGCTAATCTCAAGCCAAACAGCAGTATCAGAGGCATAAAAAAGAGATAACGTAAGATAAAACGTCCTCAAATTTACTTAGACTAGCCTGACAGGTTTACCAAAAAAAAAAAAAAAAAAAAAAAAAGCCTGCCACGGGCACTTTGACAAGGCAAAAATATTTAACACCCAGATGACTTTTCACCTAAACACATGGATACCAGGAGGAAGACTGAAATTTTCTGATGCTGAACATGAGAGAAAACTCCAGAAAAAAAGCCAAAAACAATTAAATGAAACCTCCCTTTCCAGAGCTGAACTGCACTCAGAGCCTGGTGCTAGGAACCCTCCGACGGAGGAGAGCGGGGCGACTGCGCCAGCACCACTCGGCCCCGACTGCGGGGACTCCGACAATGCGCCGTCCTGTGTCCGGCGTACGGGCAGACCCCGGCCCGGGACGCTCACCCACGTCGCTTCCTCACCTCCAGCCCGCCCGGGTGAGCCCCCGCCGGGCGGGCTGCGCAGGGCATGGCCGCGCAAAGCCGCCCCTGACAACCACCCCACCCGCGGTGCCGCGGAGGTCTCGCCGAGGACGCAGAGCCCGGCCTGGGGCCGGCTCCCTGCTACCAGCGGCCACCACGCCCGTCAAAGGAACCCTTCAGGGCACCACGGGGGGACCGCTGCCTGTGCCCCTCATCACTCCCGAGGTCCCGGAGCAGGGCTGGCAGCAGACACGGGCTGCCCCGCGGCGAGGGGCGCCCATGTCCCCCGTCGGGAGCGCATTCATCCGACTCCTGCGGGCCGGCGGCCGCCGATCCCGGGGAAGCCTTGGAGGGAAGGGATAGAGGAGAGGAGAAAATCACCCCCGCCACCCGCCGCACCGTCGCTGGCTGCAGCCCTGAACCTCCGTAAAAGAAAAGTTTTCGTCTCTTTCTTGCAGTCGGTCTCTCGACATGTCTCCGGCGCCGGAGCGCCACTGTGTGCCCGCCCGCCGATCCCCTGCCCGGTGCGCGCCCGCGGCCGCCCCGCGTACCTGGGGTTGGAGCTGTTCCAGTACACGGCGTAGCGGTCGGCCACCGCCTTGGCGCCGGGCTCCTGTCCGCGCACGCACACCCACAGCGCCGCGGCCGCCAGCAGCAGCATCTCCACGTGCAGCATCGCGCCCGGCCGGCAGCGCGGCGAGGCGGGATGCGGGAAAAATAAAGAAAAGGGAAAGAAATTGGG